TCCCAGAAATCCCCCGCCAGCAAGGGGAATTCTGGGAGTTGAAGTCCACCTATTTTAAAGTTGCCAAGGTTGAGAAACACTGCTTTAGAGGGTTGTATGATAATCTCAGCTATCCTAGATCATTTTCTCTCACCTTCCCTATAGTGCATTACGTTGTGTCTTGATTGATCAATGCTATTTCTTTCCTAATTTGTTGGTCTTTAACTGTAAATCAGTGAAGTCACATTGTTGTTTTAAGCTTAGCTGGCTGGCCACATTGTGCAATGGGAACTGGAAAAATGAGTTTATTTTGAAAGTACATATGCCAGCCACTGAACCTGCCCTTTCTCTCTCTTTCTGCAGGGCCTGGACTGCCGGCTAAGTGAGTATACTTTCTGTTTTTTGTGTAAAGGAGACCATTCATTTTCCCTTGAATTAGTGCACTAAAGTTGTAGTGAACAACAATCCTCATCTCAGTCATGCTGACTGAGAATGGAGAGTTGTGGTGCAACACACCTGCATGCCAAGGAGAAAACTGATTTCTCGTTCATTTGTTTGGTTCAACAGGGTTCATGATTACAACTCACAACAGTATGAAGGCTTGACCTGTGTGATTTGACTGGGAACCAGTTAGACAGGATTACTTAACTATAAGAAGTGTTTACTTGCATTTAACTACGATACGATCATGCATTTTCTCTTTTTCTCACGCACACTCACACACCCAAAGGGAGACCGCAAATTATACAGATTGTGATTTCAAGGCAGTAATATGTAGTGCCTGCCCCCGAATAAAACATGTTGGAGAAAGAGAAAAAAATGGGGGTGGGCATAACAAAGAAAAGCCATTTCGGGGCATCTCTTAAATTCTTGTGCTCCATTGCTACCTGCAGCTCCGATGTTAGCAAACGTTCCTCCTCCTCCTCTGCAGAACACCAACTTGCAACCAGTTATTTGGAAGGCAACCATGACTGAAGCCTCCACCCCACTCTCAGTCTGCAAAGGACAGATAGGTGGGGCAAGAGAGGGGTGTTTATAGCCACAGCTTCCTCTACTGCCTCCAATCACTTTCTCTCTCCTCTCCCCCACCTTGCTTTCAGAAGCAAAGGATGTACTATGTCCACCTGGTGAAGCCATATCAGATCCAGAGCTAGATCCAATCCTACAGCTGGCTTGGATGAACACAAGTAACATTCTATGGTGTGCGGAGCAGCAAGACTGCACTCCCTGCGTGCAAGTGATGTTATTTCTTGGATTGCTGGGTAAGGAAGGTGACTCAAGCATCTGTTCTTAGAAGCTTATTTGAGTCTGCTGCTAGCCTTGTGACCTGGGAGGGCTGGAGCTTGGCTTCTTGCTGCTGCCAATGTATTGGTCTAGGACAGGGCAGGGCAGGGCAGGGCAGGGCAGGGCAGGGGTGAGGAATCTGCAATGAAAGCCATCTGAGCAACAGGAATCCTTTAGGCCTGGTTTCATCCTTGACAAACCGCCCATCCTCCAGCCAGTTTCATGGCTACCTCCTAGCAGATTTTGTCCAGAAGTAAGTTAGATGGCAGATCCCCATAGGAAAAATTTCCCTCCCCTGTCATGGCATAATGGTTAGTTGGACTAGGAATGGGGAGACCCAGGTTCTAATTCACTATCACCCAAATAAGCTCCCTAGACATTGCAAGAGGAGAGCCATTTTAGTCTATGGTGTCAAAGAATCAGGCAAAAAAAAAAAGTGTTTTAATAAAATCAGAAAAGATGCTACAAAACTCTCTAAGTGACATTGGTCCAATTATTTTTCAGCCCAGGTACTTCACAGGGTGTTGGGTGTGGGGAAAAATAGAGCCTTGAGCTCCTAAATAAAAGGTGGGATATAAATCTAATAAATAAATAGATTCTCCCATTTTAGATGCAAGAAGCCCAGGGTTCCATTCCTGGAGTAGTTCATGAGATTAGCATCTTAGAGGAATGACTGATACCTTATTGTAGCATGTAAACTTTGCAGGTAGAAAATGCCAGGTGTATCCTCTATTAAAAGCTGTCACAGGTGATAAGACTAGGAAAGGCAATACTGCTAGAATTGGCAGTATTGGGCCATATCAGCAGACTTTTCCAAGCTGGCACTTTCCAGGTTGCTGGGACATCAAGTCCCAGGAATGCCAGGCAGCACCCTCCAAGGCTGTATTGGCTGGAGATTCTGGGGGTTTCAGTCCTGAAACAGCTGGAGGGGCATTGAGTTAAGAAAGGATGATACAGGCCAATGATTTGACTTGGTAAGAGGCATCTCCTTATGTCTTTGATATCCTTTATAGCAGCTGTCCCCAATTTGACTTTGCTGACAAGGAAGGATGGGCATTGTAGTACAAAACAAGTGGAAGATATTGGGTTAGGGAAGGCTTCTTAGGTCTAGTCCTTACACTTCACAAAAGGTCAACTGGCTCTCCTCTTGCTATCAGGACAGCTAAAATCCCATCCTTGCCCAACCTGGTAGATCTCTCTGCCTTTAGATCCCCTCTTTCTTATTTCTATTTCCCACCCCAAAAAATCAACTCAATGTGAAGCACAACCAGCCATCAGAGGAACAATCTGACAGGTATTTAGTGTCTTTCAAAAAAGAAAGGGCAATAATTGCTAGCTGATTGTAAATCTTTGTTTCGTATCCTTTTAGCCCTACGTAATATGTGAAACCTTGTTTTAACAGACCAACTGGGAAGAAGGGAGGTCCTTTATTCACATATGTCCATTAAATTAGAAAGAATGTCTTTGCAGTGATTTGCATCATCTGTGTGATGACATCATTACCTAAATGGCATGAACCGCTGCAGAAATGTGGTCCTCTGCATGCAAGGATGGTTCCACCATATTGCTTCACCTGTTATTTTTGCCAAAATAGATGCATTCCAATAATCAAAGCCTCATTCCTTCTGTGTCCTTCTAGAGCCACCTGCGCTGGGTACAAAACAAGATGGAGGAGCCAGCAAGATCAGCATGCAGCCCAGCGGACGTGCTGAGAGTGAGTAGGGTGGGCCTTCTCAACAGCAGCCCCTTGCAACCAGCTGGAAACTGTCCCTGCTCTGCTTTTGACCCTGCTTTCTTTCTGTCCCCAGAAATCCTGCGAACACGTATTCTGCTCATTGTGGACACACCCTCTTCCTCTCGTTGTGTTGAACTGGAGGTTTGGCTTCCCTACGGTTGGGAAGGTAAAAATAATTCCCTGGTAAGAAGCACCAACTCCTAGAGGTGTCCTCTCTGGGTGGGAAGATCTAGTTAATTATTATTATATTAATTCCCAGCTCTTCTCTGGAAGGATGTCCTGTCCCAGGCCAAACATACAGAAACCCACCAGTTGCAAACTTTACTGTTGGTTTTTTACAACTGCCCAAGTGGCAGGAAGGATGTGAGCACCACACCCACCCACACATGAGTGGGAAAGAATTTCCCAAAGTCAAGCAAGCTCCCTTTAATAGAGTCCCAAAGTTTCCAAGTCCAAAGCAGCAGGCAAAAGTGTAGTCAGGGTGAGGCCCAAGGGTCGAAGCGTCACAGAAGGTTCATCAGCTGGTCCGAGAATCAAAGTCAAAGTCAAGGGATTCAAAGTCAGAATTTGAGGCACACAGAGTCAGGGTAAGCAAAGGGTTGTTGCCAATGGAGGGGCTTGGAATTGCTGATCTGTGAAGTAGAGCCAGTGCCGGTGTTACTGTCAGGCCTAGCCCAAGGAACTCCAAGAGACAATGCCAATT